ATTGTCCGTCTCAATCCTGTGTGTTTTATCAAAGGTCATGGAAACTATCGGCCGTCTCAATCCTGTGTGTTTTATCGAAGGTCATGGAAACTATCGGCCGTCTCAATCCTGTGTGTTTTATCGAAGGTCATGGAAACTATCGGCCTGTCTCAATCCTGTGTGTTTTATCGAAGGTCATGGAAAAGATTATGGTTGAGCAGATTGACAGTTATATTTCCTTACATAACCTATTATATGAGCTCCAATCTGGCTTCAGGAAATCCCATTCCACCAACACTTGCCTACTATATCTAACTGACCACATAAGGAAGGAAGTAGACAGAGGGAAATTCTGTGGTATAGTTATGTTAGATCTCCAAAAGGCGTTTGACACAGTGGATCATGAGATTTTGTTAATCAAACTAAGAGCCATGGGCTTTAACAATTTAGCAGTGAAATGGATTAGCTCTTATCTGCAAGAAAGAAAACAGATGGTGATTGTGGAAGGAACCCTGTCTAAACCCAAAATCTTGAACTACGGGATACCCCAAGGGAGTGTGCGGGGTACCCCAAGGGAGTGTGCTGGGTCCACATTTCTTTTTATTGTATATAAATTATCTGAAATCTGCCTGTACATGTGACCTTTTCCTCTATGCAGATGATTCTGCACTGTTGGTTTCCCACAAAGACAAAAATATGGTTGAGAAAGCCCTCAGTGCTGAACTTCTGAATGTCCGTAAATGGCTATATGACAATAAGCTGTCACTTCACCTTGGAAAAACAGAGTCCATCTTGTTTGGGTCCAAAGTGAAACTGAGGAAATCCCCTGATTTTAAAGTGGTAGTAGGTGACATAGTAGTCACAGCAAAATGCTCTGTTAATTATCTTGGATGTGTGCTAGATAAACATCTGGCATGGCACAAAACGTTATCTCCAAAGTGAACCATAAAATTAGGTTTCTGGCAAGAACCTCCAAATATCTGGATAAGAATGCAATGGGGGACATTGGCAGGGGCTCTTGTTCAGTGCCACTTTGACTATGCGTGCTATTCCTGGTACAATAGTGACCCCAAGACAATAAAAAATAAATTGCAGACATCTCAGAACAAATTAGTCAGGATTATTCTTCAACTTCCAGCACTTACGCATCTTGACCATTCCCACATTGAAAGCCTTAGATGGCTCAAAGTGGAGGAGAGAGTCTCTCAGATTAAATTGTGTCTTGTACATAAGATCGTCCACAGTATGGTCCCCGGGTACCTGTGTAACTTCTTTAACTTGGTACGGGATAACCATAACTATTTCACTAGAAGGAGTGAAACTGACGTTGTTCTTTTTAGATTAAAAAGTGGTAAGGGGAAATAAACTTTTTTTTACTTTGCTGCTATTCTTTGGACTAGTCTTCCGAAGAATTTGAAACGTATAACCTCCATAGGTAGTTTCAAGTTCTCACTGAAAATATGGCTAAATAATAGCATGTCCCAAAAGTGAGTCGTAAGATTATAGTACGTGGCTGAGAAGATAATGCCCGGGATAGCATATGATCTGCCTTTTGGTGCCTGTTGTTTATCATATTGTGATTGTCTTGTATATATTAGGGATTTATTGTTTTATATATTAAGGGCATGTGAGACAAGGGAGATGTACCTGTCCATAGTTGGTTATTAGGAAAGGGAATTGTACTAATTATGTTATGTAACAAACATTTTGTCTGTCATTGTTTGTTGCCGCTACAATTATTACCACCTAACCCTGTTGCATTCCATGTTCCCCCTTCCCTCTTCAAAAGGACCACATTGGAAATCAGCTGTTAAGCTTTATTGCGTTATCCTTGAGGATTTTCATAAATTGTATGTGGAGGCATCACCGACTGGAGCGCCCTTATGTATGTATTTAAAACAATTGTCTAATAAATTCAATCAATCAATCTTGGGTGCCAATTATTTTGGAGGTGACTATATCTTATTCTAATATACTCTCAATTGACCCACAAATGTGAATGTACTCACATTTGGGTCTCACTGTGGGTAACAACAGCCCTCTCTCCCTACAGTGTGTCCCTGTGAGGAGGGTTGATCATCAACAGTCTGATTGGGACTGGAGGCAGCCATGTTCCCTCTGCTTCAAGCCTTGAGGTAATAAACAATAAGAGCCCTTCAGCTACAAATGTGTGCTGTTCTGTATTGTGGTTTTGCCAACATGTATGATCATACATGCATGATTGGAGAGCAAGCCTTATGACACACAAGGCTGCCGTTTTATTTTGAATAAACATTTGAATAGGTTTCCAGTTTTATTTGTCGTATGGGATACATATGGTATACATCGTCCTGTAAAATTCTTACTTGCAGGTTCCTTCTCGACAATGCAACAACAATAATAAATAATAAAAGATATGAGTATGAACATAAAGTAAATGTCTCAGTAGAATAGAATAAACATTTAAGCATAAGTATAATACAGGTAGGCACAATTTATAGTCCAATATTTACACGTGTTTTTGGGGAATGGGGGGATTGGGGACAGTGTATAAACTGAGCAGTATAATAAGAGTCTGGTAGCAGCAGTTGTGATGTGTGTGTAGCATGAATGTATATGTGTGTGTGTGTGTATCTCTGTGTGGGTGTGTGCATGAGTGAGTGCATGTGTGCTAAGGTGCAGAGAATCAGAGCAGGTGGTCAGTCCAGTTCAAGTGTTCAGCAGTCTGATGGCTTGTAGGTAAAAACTGTCTCTGAGCCTGTTGGTATCAGACCTCATACTCCGATACCGTCTGCCCAATGGTAAGGGAAAGAACAGCTCGTGGCAAGGGTGGGTGGGGTCCTTGATGATGCTGTGGGACTTCCTCAGGCACCGTATCGAGTAGATGTACTGGATGGGTGGGAACAATGTCTCAGTGATGTACTGGGACGTCTTCACCACCCGCTGGAGGGCCTTGCGGTCCTGGATGGAGCAATTCCCGTACAAGGCCGTGATGCAACCGGTCAGGACACTCCCGATGGTGCAGCGGTAGTATTTGGAGAGGAATTTCTTCAGACGCTGCTGTGCCCTCTTAACAATAGTGGTGGTGTTGTTGGTCCATGATAAGTCCTCGATGATGTGGATGCCAAGGAACTTAAAACTTGTGCCTCTCTCTACTGCAGTCCCGTTGATGTGGATCGGACCATGTTCCCTCCTCTGCTTCCTGTATTCAAAAATCAGCTCTTTTGTTTTGCTGAAGTTGAGGGAGAGGTTGCTGTCATGACACCACAATGCCAGTTCACTTACCTCCTCCCTATAGGCTGACTCGTCGTTGTTGGTTACCAGGCCTACAACCCTGGTGTCATCAGCAAACTTGTGGGTGAACAGGGAGTACAGCAGAGGACTGAGGACACACCCCTGGGAGGCCCCTGTGTTAAGAGTCAGTGTGGAGGAGTTGTTGTTGCCAATCCTCACAGCCTGTGGTCTGCCCATCAGGAAGTCCAGGATCCAGTTGCAGAGTGTGGTGTCCAGACCCAGGGTTCTGAGCTTGGTGTTGAGCTTGGAGGGAACAATAGGGTTGAATGCTGAACTGTAGTTAATGAACAGCATTGTCACATAGGTGTTCCTCTTGTCCAGATGTGTTACGGCTGTGTGAATAGCGATGGAAATGGCATCTTCTGTGGATCTGTTGGAGCGGTAGGCAAATTGGATTGGGTCCAGTGTGCCTGGCATGCTGGCCTTTATGTGGGCCAGCCTCTCGAAGCACTTCATGATGAGGTGAGCGCGACAGGGCGATAGTCACTTGGGCATGTCACCGTGTTTTTCTTGAACACTGGGACGATGGTAGTCTCCTTAGAGCAGGTGGGGACTACAGCCTGTAATATGTTACGAATTTTCAAAATGTATTATGTTACAAATTCTAGCTAGGTGGCTAACGTTAGCTAGCTGGATAACGTTAGCTAGGCTAGCGGTTAGGGTTAAGGGTTAAGGTAAGGGTTAAGTTTAGGACTTAGGTTAAATGGTTAAGGTTAGGGTTAGGGGAAGGGTTAGCTAACATGCTAAGTAGTTGCGAAGTAGCTAAAAAGTAGTAACTAGTTGCAAAGTTGCTAATTAGCTAAAATGCTAAAGTTGTCCGTGATGAGATTCGAACTCGCAAACCTTTGGGTTGCTAGATGTTCACATTATACGGCTACTCATCCACCCCGACCAACCACCCTACTTTAATTTTTGCCTCAAGTATCCATCTGTCTTATGTAACTATATCAAATGTAACATATACTAATTTGAGGTCCCGGAATTTTGTTTACTATGTTAGGTCTAGTCTATGAGACTAGGCTGGGAGGACAGGGGAGGGGGTAGTGTCAATGTGTTGACAGGCATGTGCTCCTCTCCCCTCCTACAGAGCTGAGCCCATTCACGCAAAATCAACAGTGGAATCTGTAGATTGCAAATATGAATGCATGCTTTACATAATAATAGACATAAACTGAGCAGTGGGATTCCTGCATGACAATGAAGCTTCATGCATAATCAGACAAGCCCTCTAACACGCTCCCAGCTACATTATACTGTACTTCACAAACACAGTCTGTTTCAGCTGTCTGCCTGGACTCTCGCTCGAGAGAGCACGCCTCTCGCTACTCTCTCTCCCGCGCTCCTGTCTTCGGGAGCGGAGCGCGCGAGCGGGGCGGGACGCGGCGGACGTCGAGGGGGGCGCTGCGCTCGTTCTCTAGAGGCGGGACGCGAGCAGGAGGCGCGCAAGAAGGCGGAGCGGCAAGGCAGGCGCGAGCAATAAGGAGGAGCGCACTCGGCGAGCGAGAGAGAGAGCGGAGGAGAGAGCGAGGGCTCTACGAGCAGATCTCGATGTGCGAGTCTCGGTTACGAGCGTGTCTCTCGCTTCATCTCGCTACTTTCTGCTCTACGCTCTTCGCTCTCTATCTTCTCTCTCTTTCTCTCTCTCTCTCTCTCTTCTCTCTTTCTCTCTATTCTCTCTTCTCTCTTCTCTCTCTCTCTCTCTCTCTCTCTCTCTCTCTCTCTAGGTAAAAAGGTAAGCCACCCCAGGTCTATTCTATAACCCTCCTCAGCCTCAGTACTGGCATCAGCTGGTGTTTCCTGAGCTGAGCTGGCCCATAGTGTAGGACTGTGGCTTTGGCCACTGTGAGAGGGGGGGTGGGGTGGGGCAGGTTGGGGTGGGTGTTTAGGGGTTGTAAGGGGGGTATGTGGCCCCTATCTCGCATGCGATTGTTCCATAAATGGAGTGGACAGAGAGTGGAACTGTGGGGGATTTAGGAGGAGCAGCCTAACAGTCTATTGTTCTGGGAGTGACAGACTGTTCTCATCTAGCCTCAGAGTATGACCGACCCTCCAGGACAGGAGGGAGGGAGGACACTTCCTTAAGCCTCAATGGTGTGATGAAGGATTATATTTACAGCACTGTGCAGCAGGGAAAGGCCCAATGACAGACATTTGTTTCCATATTGACCCAATGTATTTTTGCCTAGAGGGATTTGAAACCATCAATTAAATAAAAAAAGGGACTGGATGAGCTTTTTTTTTTAAGTGACATGTAAAAGTCCCTTTTTTTGGGGTCTCTGTTTTCTAATTACACAGGTGTTTTGAATTTGAAGGAAATATTGTAAACGCAAACATTCTGTTTTGTCAGTAAACAGTATATAATGATGAGTAGAGTGACACTCGTTCTTCCAGCCATTCATGAGCAGCCACTTATCTATATAGTAAGGTTATCTTGTTTAATCTGCTCTCTCAATCATACCTATTCTTCATAACTTCTTCCATGAGATAATAAACCTCAATCAATGATTCAATGTCTAAAGCTATGAAGCATAGGTTGGTTGACAATGTAATTGAATAAATTGCTCACATTTAAGACACGCAAACGCAACCTTGAAGAGGCAGACACAGATTAAAACAGACTGTCATAAATATAACATGGGCATGCATGGGAACGCTAGGATCATTTATTCTCCTCTAGTGCATGTTTGCCTGCATCTCTGTGTGTGTGTGTGTGTGTTAATTCACCCTTGACAGAATAAGCAACCATTTTCCTGGCTGTCACCACAAGGCTGTGACCAGACTGACCACCACACATTAACTAAAGAATATTAGAGTTATTTAGTCCATCTTGGCAGCAGACACCGCCCTCAATATAAACAAACAAACAACAACAGCAGACTCAGCTGTCTCTCCCAGTCTTGTAACGTAGTCAAGGGAACACATTTAGAAGTTAAACAAAAAAATCAGAATTTATTTTAGAAAACCCCTTCGTCAAAACAAATAATAATCTTAGCGTAATCCTCTTTAAATGGGGGGAAAACATTTCAAAAGCCATCACTACGGTTACATAAAGGGGGACAATCGTGAATGACAAACGAGGACAGCTTTAATTAAGACATGCTTTCTGATGAGTAGGTTTACACACAGAGTCAACACAGGCCAAGAAACAACTCCCTCCTCCATGGGCCTGGTATGAAACTAGAACCCCAAGACTAAAGTGAGGGTGGAGATGGAGCTATAGCTAACTAACTGAGGCACAAAGCCTGGAGGTCCAACACTGCATGTCACAAAAGAGCCTTGGAATCAGAGGAGAAGGAGAGAAGGAGCCTTCCACACATTTCCACATTAAGGTTCAGAAAATTCCTCCCCTTAGAACAAATCCCAAGAGCTATTAAAATAAACAAGGGTTGGTTTGGCACCGTCCTGCAACAAAGATCTGCTGACACAAAATGGTGGTTCTGTGGTTCAACCCTGGCAGCTCAGACTGCACCAGAACTCCACAGTCCACGTTTCAATCTCCACCAATAACACACAGTGACCTCACATAGCCACAGGAGTACGTGAGCATCCTTCAAGCCTCTAGCACCCTCAAACTCAACTCTGGACCTCGAAGCCAGTTCCACTGCATTTTTTTCATTGTTCCACTATAATCTGGACTGATTTAGACCTGGGACACCAGGTGAGTACATTTATTATCAGGTAGAACAGAAAACCAGCAGGCGCCGGACCTCGTAGGGTAAGAGTTGAATACCCCTGCTCTAGCAGGTCAACCATTTAGCATTGACGTAGCATAAAAATGACCTGGCTACTGCCAAAGAGTAACAGTAGGACAGCCGTTTGGACAGAAGATTCCATGGATTTAAAAGCCTAAAATATGATTTCCTGGCTCTAGGCCACCATGTGAACTCAATTGAGCCTAAGCTGCCTCCACTTTCCATGAAACTCAGTAGTGGGCAATTAGTAGGCCTATTTAATGAATTTAACAATGAACACTGACATTTAGAGAGTGCACACAGAAATAATTAGTCCAGTGAACTCTGACCTTCCATACTGAGCGTGCCCAGAATGGCAATGCTAATGACAGCCCCTGATTGGTTAACCCCCAGACTCTCCGATCACAGCATAAGCCTGATGAGCTATCTCACCATCATAACATACATCTGCATCTATCTCTCCATCCCCAATGGCACAATCCATTTGACAATTAATACATTTTAGTCATTTAGCAGACACTCTTATCCAGAGCGACTTACAGTTAGTGAGTGCATTTTATTTTTATTTTTTTCATACTGGTCCCCAGTGGGAAACGAACCCACAACCCTTGCATTGCAAACGCCATGCTCTACCAACTGAGCTACACGGGACTAATACAAATCCAAAGAGGCAAATCAAAGGGTTGCATATTACATCAGTTAAATAGGGTACATGATCTGTCAGTGCTGATAAAAGCCTAATTGGCTATTACTATCAGGGAACCTCAGAGGTAAAATGCCTTTGCAGCATACATTAAACTGGCACCTGTTATGCACTTGCCATAATTAGCATCCTCTCTGTGGTGTAGCATGCTGTGCAGTGTGCTATACACACACACACACATATATACATGCACACACCCACATGAACACATGCACACACACACCAGCATTTACTCTTCCAGACAAGCCGTATCAGAGGTGGCAAACCACAAAACACAGGCCAGAGTCAGACACATAAAATGCCTGTGGTATATTTAAGCAATAAGACACGAGGGGGTGTGGTATATGGCCAATAAACCACGGTTAAGGGCTGTTCTTACGCATGACGCAACATGGAGTGCCTTGATACAGCCCTTAGCCATGGTATATTGGCCATATACCACAAATCTCCGAGGTGCCTTATTGCTATTATAAACTGATTACCAACATAAGTAGAACAGTAAAAATACATGTTTTGTCATACCCATGGTATACGGTCTGATATACCACGGCTGTCAGCCAATCAGCATTCAGGGCTCGAACCATCCAGTTTATAATTATATAAAAACGGCATGTGCGATAATCTCATTCCTGTGTGTGTTTGAGTGAATCAGAGGAGTGTACTAACTTGTTGTTTAGGCTAATGAAGGTCTGGATCCAGCCAGGTATGTAGAGTCACAGACAGACACTGTGTTGTGTATTACAACCCAGCCAGGCACAGCCACTACAAAGCCCCTCAGCCAGGTACAGAGACACATCAACACCCGTGTGGTCCCCCTGATCAAAGCCTCTCTGCACAGCCCTGCACTGATGCATTGGAAATTGACCAATTAGAGAGGAGAGAGTGGGAGGGGGAGATGGGGGAGGGGGGGTGGGTTCTCTGTGTTCGTTCCTTACCTTCCTTATCCTGACCCCCTTATATTACCTTCAGACAGGATAATCACAGTCCCCCTCTCTCTCTTTTTCTCCCTTTCTCACTACCTCTCACACTCTTGCCCTGTGGCCTATGGGACCACTCTGACATACAGTATGGTTCAAATAAATGCGGGTTAGGCCTACTCCTCTCATCATTCTGATAAATGACTCATGCTGTCTTAGATGTGTCTTAAAGAGGACAGGGTAATAGTGTGACTACTTTTGGTGGTCTTAAGTTCTGGACACACCGGTAGCATTTGCTGGCCGAGAGTACTTTGCACCTCTGAACAGAGTGCCAGCCATAATTTGCAAACCAGAGTGCAAACCGATTCTCGCATGAAAATGTCGTAAGACAGACGGCCACCGGCGGCGGGTGGTCCCTAAAACACACCAAGCACAACAAACGGCGAACAAACAGCAAATCGACATTCGGTGCGGTGTGTGTGCTCCCTTACACCCTGTAACTATTGTACCTGAACACCCATGGCATCCTCCCAGGGACCAGGGAAAGGTCACCTGACATCATATCCTGTCTGTAACTTTACAGCTGCTGATTTATGATGCTGCAGCCTGGACCCATGCTTTGGTGGGAGCACCCTCATCCCTCACTCCCCCTGCTTAACACTATCTTCACACGGAAGGGATTACACTATCCATTTGACACAGAGACCATGGGGACTGGGGAGACAGGGGCTAGGGCTGGTAAAACACACTGGAGAAAGTGCTCTGCCACCTTTTATAAAAGCAGAGTCGTGACTATGAAAAAGAGTGTTGATGTATTATAGGTATGCAGTAAAAACATGCACACATCACAAGCCCCCCTTCGCTTCATAAAAAAATAATATTATTATAGGATTGACCTCTGAAGACATTTGATCCTAAAGGTTGGAGTCTTTTAAGAACTACATTGCAATTTTCAAAGAATAAGCCCTCCAAAAGAACACATTATCAGGACTAGCTAGGGCTGGGAATTGCCAGGGACCTCACGATATGATATTATCACGATACTTAGGTGCCGATCCAATATGTATTGCAATTCTCACGATTCTATACGTATTGTGATTCGATACTGTGATTTTATTGCGATTAGATGTTCCAAACATATTGCTCACCATATGTCTGGAAATAAAATAGCAGTCATGGAAATAAAATAGCTGAAAACAAATTGGCTCCCTTTTTAAAAAGAAGATGGTGAACAAGCAATGCAGGAAAAATACTGGAGTTTATGCATCTTTGCCAGAATTATGCAATAAAATGCAATAATCCCAATCTGCACTCTGCCACTTAACCTCCTAATACCTCCAATCCCAGACTACGTGCAGCAGGACAAACAAGGTAACTAATCTTGAAATACCCACAATCTGTTTCTGTGGCAACCCTTGCCTTGCCAGCCCCCCCGGTGCATGACCCCTGACTGGTGGTGTGCATAGTGGGAGGGAGACACAATAGGTCACACACCTGCTAATATAAGAAGATATAACACAGGCCAACTCTATGGGCTACAACCACAAATTATTCTGTGTTTTGATTGCACACTAAGTGATTTCCTGTGAGCTCCAATCATTGGCTACAGAATAGGTTGGTATAATGATCCCTTCTTTAATCAACCCGACTGTGATTTACACGCAATGGGGATGTGTGCAATCTGGTTCCTGACACAGACAGATGCTGGAGCCTGCTCTCTTGTCACTCTCTATCCTACAGGGGTACTTGATTGCTTCATTTGCTTTCCTGTCCATGTTGCTGAACAGGATTAATTCATTATGGTGTTGTACATGTAGCTGTAATACTGTATATATAAAGAACCCCTTATGATTCATTTTCAGCAATGCTAACTGAATAAATCTGATGCTATCCAACCTCTGGACATAAACCTAGCTGGAAAGCAGGTAGCCTAGCAGATATGCAAAAAACACATGTCCAATTCACACATTAGTATAATACACACAAGTATAAATGATTATTATCCATTGAATTTAACACTGGAGCAGAGTCAGAAGTGTTGAAGAAATGTGCACAATAAATACATGTTTTTTGCTGCCTTTGAGCAAAGATTCCTGTGAGCAAAGATTCTCTCTCACGTTCTCACCTGCTTCCTGAAAGAGCAAAATAACCACTGTTATGGAAATCATGGATTATAATATTTAAACAGCTCCATGACCCTCTGACCTTTCAATTTAGGCCTATTTATACACACACTGTAGAAAGATTAAGTAAACCTAAACCAATTCATCAATTCAGTGCTCAGTGTATAAACACACGTTTAGTGTGAATGTACGGTATGTATTTTCAACTAATTAGTGAAACCTTGACAAAGTTAGAGAGCGCAGTATAGTTTTCTAGATACATAACATTGATATTGACCATGAACATAGCTTTCTCTTCCCCAGACCATGATGCAGTATGTTCATGCAGACAGCCAGTGTGTGTCTGAAGGCTGCCGCAGCCATCCCTGTAGTACCAGAATAGCTCTGATAACATATCTGATAATATATCTGTTATTCATGTGTCATCAGGACCTCTTCTACAGAATACAGTGGAAATAGAAATGGCTGCAGCGACCGGCAACAACACAGTCTGGCCGCTTCATTTAAAGGTGTTGCCATGATAGCATAGCTCTGTAAGGGATATGGATGTGCCATGTGATGGACCTACAGTATATCTTGCCAGTATAGAATTAGACTAAGAAGCTGAGTGTATACTGTGGCTAAAACTTTACAGCATATATGCCATGATAGATTTCTAAACAATTCCATCATTGTAACTGTAAATGTTATGTCAATTATTCGATAGAGCATTTGAGGCATTTCAACTGTGTTTCTGGGTAATTCGAACAGTCTACTTACACCCACAGCCTCACATAAGCAAGTATGACTAAAGCTGCTTAAAAGCCACTCGATCATGTGAGAAAGAAAGAGCACAGTAGGAAAACGTCCCAGTGAAATGAGAAGGCCAGCTGCACACACATTGTTACACTGCTTTTCCCACATTTTCACTTGTTCCCTGGAGAAGGGTGGTCATGTCTGTCTGTCTCTGTGGGCCCGACTGGACAGAAAGCCAGCCATTAAAATGTATTGTGGTGCTCTGATAAAACAATGACACACACCATTCTCTATGGAGAATATACGTAGCAGGCTAGTCCTTTAGTTTCCAGAAAACTTCACAAGACTGAGGGTGCATATATATCTGATTTCTTTTGACAGCTGTGGAAGAGCTCAGGAGCCTCACATATAGGTAACTGCCAAAATAATGGAAACACTTGATTAAATGAGGGATACAAAGTATATTGAAAGAAAGTGCTTCAACACAGGTGTGGTTCCTGAGTTAATTAAGCAATTATCATCCCATCATGCTTAGGGTCATGTATAAAAATGCCCAGTTGCCCATTATTTTGGCTACCAGGCTAGAAGAAGAGATCTCAGTGACTTTGAAAGAGGGGTCTCAAAGGAGCATAGAGGGTTTAAAGGGTGTGTGTGTGTCTATGTGAGTCACCAGATCTCAACCCAATTGAACACTTATGGGAGATTCTGGAGTGGCGCCTGAGACAGCGTTTTCCACCACCATCAACAAAACACCAAATGATGGAATTTGTTGTGGAAGAATGGTGTCGCATCCCTTCAATAGAGTTCCAGACACTTGTAGAATCTATGCCAAGGCACATTGAAGCTAGTCATGCGGCTCGTGGTGGCCCAATGTCCTAATAACACACTTTATGCTTGTGTTTCTTTTATTTTGGCAGTTGCATGTACATTACAGCACTGAGCTCACAGTCCGGAGGCGCTGTTACCCAAAATGTAAATGTTGTATTCTGATAGTGTACTGGAGCTAGAACCATTGAGACCCAGAGGGACTGTAGTACAGTATGGTCCGTTTCCTCTTGTCAACTCTGATCAGGATCACCCCAGCTCAGCTAGTGTTTGACTAGCAGGTCAAACCCACTAGGGGTCAAGGCTAGCAGCCTAGCCACAACACACCCAGATGTTGTTCAGGTTCTCAAGTGCTAGTGTTTATTACGCATAGCCTGGTACCAAGTCTGTTTGTGCTGTATAGCAAACTTTTATAGTCGTTGACATGACAATTACCATAGGAGTTGGCAAGACAGCACTAACTGATCTAGGACCAGGCTATATTAGGCAGCCTTTAAGTGGTAGTTTAAAAGGAGACTGGTAGTAAAGCAATTTGAGTGTGTTTTGTGTGAAGGGAATGAGTGTGGTACATCCCTTTATGACCCTACATCCCCTCCTTCCCCCTCCTCTGCTAATTTACTTTCTCTCCCTGACTCAAGCCCATACAGGCCGTCCTTTACATTTGATGACTTTCTTTTTACGAGCAGTTGTTGATTACACCTTTAAAGGGTCCTTAATAAAGGCTGAAAGCAAACAGGGCTTTCAGCAGAAACCTTAGCAAACACCAGGACCGTTTCGTTCTAAAGGGTCTCCTTTTCCCATCTTGTGGCAGCATGCCAGCCCGCAGGGTGCTGTGTTAGTAACATGAAGAAAAGAAGATGCTTGGCTAAATAAAAAGCTTTCACCAAATTACTCTGCTGCCTGGAGTATAAATAATGAAAAAGCTCTTAATTATCTAAAAACAGAGCGTAACGTCTTCTTTGCGAGAAAGCGGTGAGATGGAATCACTGGTCACTTTAAATGGAACACTAGTCACTTTAATAATGTTTGCATACTGTTGTACTCATTTCATATGTATATACTGTATTCTACTGTATTTTAGTTAATGCCACTCAGACATTGCTCGTCCTAATATTTATATATTCCTTAATTCCATTATTTTACTCTTAGATTTGTGTGTATTGTTGTGAATTGTTAGATACTACTGCATTGTTGGAGCTAGGAACACAAGCATTTCGCTACACCCGCAATATTATCTGCTAAATATGTGTATGTGAACCAATAAGATTTGATTTGATTGGGAAGGAGTTATTCACCTGGTGTCATATGCTATTTTGAGTGGGGAACAATGTTATGGATGATGCATGTACCATAAAATAGTAACACAGAAATGTATATTATTTTACTTAGCACTATACTACGCCACATTTTAAATACATTGTTATGACCACTATCATATATCTGAAACATTCGGGAAGTTAAACCACTATAAACAAGCCTCTTTTTCACACTACGGTTTGGCAGTACTTCAGTCTGGCCTAAGGGGTTTCTAAAGCCACAATGCAGGAGTGGACCGTGGTCATGTTCTCATTAGGCCAACTAGAGGATCTCTAACAGAAAGCTCATTTCCTGAAAGGCGAGGAAGCTGGGATATTCAAAGAACTAAGAGAGGAAGCAAGGTTAGAGTGAAGCATGTAAGGTGACGATCTTGTCCTTTCACTCAGGGAGGAAGCCAATAATAGCATCAACTACCCATTACTGCCTTTCCTTCTTCCCTCACAAACACTCAACAACCCCATGTATTAACTGAATGTCTCACATTGGCAAGGAGCATTAAGCCACAAGCTTGACATGAACTCCCACCAGATTGAATCAACTGCTCTCGGTCAGTTTAAGGCTTTGAACAAGTGGTGTGAAGTTGCCCGTAAGCACTGATCTAGGAACAGCTTACCCTCCACAAATCCTAACATTGGGGGAAATGCTAAACTGACCTTAGATCAGTATCAGCAGCCCAATCCTCTTTACAAACACTGATTCCAGTCCTGTTTCTGTTTGAGCAGCATAAACCTCCATCTATGTGCAATCATCCTCTCTGCATGACACCCAGTGGTTTCATCACCCTCCCATCAGGACAATGCAGGCCACTTGCCTCCTCAGTGGTATTCCATGGGCGGAAATCGGAAATCCAAAACACAACAATAGTGAATGGACATGTTGCTCCATCAGCCTGCAGTCAAACAATGGGGACATCTCCCTGTGTTTAGCTTCCACTTCCTAACCACACAGACACAGGGCATACAGAGGAGAGACTGTACTATTGTGGTTGGTGTACAGGACAGAGGCTGCTATCTAATGCCCTACAACGCGGACATTAATAGACGGTCAAATCGTGGACGGTTTTGTAACTGAAATAGTAGCGATTCAAATCAGCATCACAAAGCCATAACATTTAACCAGCTGTCCTTCCCATCCATTCCAGATCATCTGATTGGTTGGATCAAGACGAAATATAGGGTAGAGCACTATCCTGTTAACTGCTGCTGTTTCTGCAACCCTTTTGGCACCTGAAGACAGGGCACATTTAAAAAAAACATTTTCCCAACTCATTTCAACATCTCCACTTTAATTTGCAGAAACTGCCATGATTTGACCACAAATCTCTGTTTGCTTCAAGGACAGGGTTTGTGGTTCAATATGGTTAGATATAACATCTTGCAGATAGCATAGAGTAGATACAGAGATTATAGTACCCTCCTCCTTGTGTCTCCTCAGCCTCCATGCTTTGGAATGGCAACATTGTCACCACAACACAGCGAGGGGATGAGCCATGCTGCTCCAAATCACTGTTTTCTGCTGCTGCTCCAGAGCAAAGCAAAGCAGCAAAGATCTAATTAGGCCTCCCTAACCTCAGACACCGACACAGGAAGAAAATGTCATTTCAGTTCATTTGTTTTCCTCTTTTCCAAAAGCATTTGTAGTTGATGGTGTCAAAGTAACTTCTCAGTCAGGAAAATGCAAGGAAGGAATTAAAAGGAACCAAGAAAATCAATAAGCACAAGTGTAGTATCTATGTAGCCATTAGCAAGCGATATGACTGCACTGCACACAACAATTACACACCAAACACTATCGTCAATGCTAGTTTTGTTCTCAAATGAGAAATCCAGAACTGTGATGTGTTTGAGCAATGATGTTTGAGCAATGATACCCCTCTCTCTCTCTCTCTCTCTCTCTCTCTCTCTCTCTCTCTCTCTCTCTCTCTCTCTCTCTCTCTCTCTCTCTCTCTCTCTCTCTCTCTCAATTCAATTCAATTCAATTCAATTCAATTTAAGGGCTTTATTGGCATGGGAAACGTGTGTTAACATTGCCAAAGCAAGTGAAGTAGATAGTAAACAAAAGTGAAATAAACAATAAATATTAACAGTAAACATTACACTCAGAAGTTTCAAAAGAATAAAGACATTTCAAATGTCATATTATGTATATATACAGTGTTGTAACAATGTGCAAATAGTTAAAGTACAAATGGGAAAATAAATAAACATAAATATGGGTTGTATTTACAATGGTGTTTGTTCTTCACTGGTTGCCCTTTTCTTGTGGCAACAGGTCACAAATCTTGCAGCTGTGATGGCACACTGTGGTTTTTCACCCAGTAGATAAGGGAGTTTATCAAAATTGGGTTTGTTTTCGAATTCTTTGTGGATCGCTGTAATCTGATGGAAATATGTGTCTCTAATATGGTCATACATTTGGCAGGAGGTTAGGAAGTGCAGCTCAGTTTCCACCTCATTTTGTGGGCAGTGTGCACATAGCCTGTCTTCTCTTGAGAGCCAGGTCTGCCTACGGCGGCCTTTCTCAATAGCAAGGCTATGGTCACTGTCACGCTCTGGTTCCGGGACTTGGTATTTTAGCCAGAGTGTGTTAAGTATTGTTGTGTTTGGGTTGGTTGGGTGGTTATTGGTTGTTTCTGTGTTTGGTTGAGTGACTCCCAATCAGTGGTAACGAGTGTCAGCTGTCGGCTCGTTATCTCTGATTGGGAGCCATATTTAAACTGTCATTGTTCACCTTGGGGTTGTGGGTTTTTGTTCCATGTACAGTCATTTGTCACTGTGGACTTCACTATCGTCATTCGTTTATTTGTTTTCGTGGTTGCTTGATTAAATAAAGTCATCATGTTCACTCAACGCGCTGCGTATTGGTCCGCTTCCTCAGACGACCGTGACAGAAAAACCCACCACAACGAGACCAAGCAGCGTGTCCAGGAGCCAACGCCAGAAGCAACTCTAGTGGATATCCTCTGCTCCCAAGTCCAACCTCTCTCCTCCTCACGCGGCTTGACCCAGTCGAAGTGGATATCCGCTAGAGTTGCTTCTGGCGTTGGCTCCTGGACACGCTGCTTGGTCTCGTTGTGGTGGGTTTTTCTGTCACGATCGCCTAAGAAGTATGACCAAAGCGCAGCGTTGGGAGTGAACATCTTGACTTTAATAATTCCACACGAGAATACAAAACAAACCACGATCGTGAAGTCCTCAGTGACAAATGACTGTACATGGAACAAAAACCCACAACCCCAAGGTGAACAATGACAGTTTAAATATGGCTCCCAATCAGAGATAACGAGCCGACAGCTGACACTCGTTACCACTGATTGGGAGTCACTCAACCAAACACAGAAACAACCAATAACCACCCAACCAACCCAAACACAACAATACTTAACACACTCTGGCTAAAATACCAAGTCCCGGAACCAGAGCGTGACAGTCACTGAGTCTCTCTCTCTCTCTCTCTCTCTCTCTCTCTCTCTCTCTCTCTCTCTCTCCCAGACAAGGGCTCCCTGTGGTCTAGATAAGGATCATGGGTATTAATGTCTCCCAGTAGAGCCCTTGTAGTGAAGTGTTGGCTTATGATCCTATAGCCTCACAGGGATGTGGCAGTCAACGACACTTCAGAGCATCATCACTGAGCTATGCTGGCGGAAGTACTGTGTCTATACATTAAGCACACAAACAAACAGACAAACAGTGTGAACAGCTGAACATATGGTTACCGGACACTGACCCTTCTACACAACCTACATTTGCTTATTTATGCTGTATTTAACGCACTATGTAAGCCTTGTTGAGACTACCATGTCTGGTCTCAGGGGCAGAGAGAGAAGAACCCTGCACTGACCAATCAGAGGCCAGCTGGCCACAGTTCCATCACTGAGGGCTCCTCACACTTGACTCGCTCCTGAGGAGAAACCACTGGTCTGGATCACATTCAACACTCTACTGCAGGGTTTCACACTCACATACTATATGTATATATACACACACACACACACACACACACACACACACAGAGAGAGAGAGACCTTGAACTGCTCATTCTCCTCCAAAGCCTCAACGTCGAAGCTTTGGCTCTAAATAAATACAGCCTTCAAAGTTTAACCCTCTGGAACCAACACTTTGTTTCAACATGACGTTAGCCTATAATCCCGGAAAAAAAAGGGATAATGCCAGGAATACAAAGAGGCAGAAGAAGCGCTAACAATACACCCAAATTAAGAGTAGTCATGGCTGACTGTAATTTGAATATTGATTACTTAGAAATCCCAAATAAAGTCTGCATGTTCACTGTAAGATATCAAGATTTAAGGATGAATTAAAATGGAAACCCTCCAAATAACATGTGCATGAGATAATATTCTGAAATGTCGAATAAAACACTGATCTTTTTCATCTAATCCAAAAAATTGAATGTACATTGCATGGCTATGGCGACAAAAGCTGTGTGTATGTGTATGTCTCTCTCTCTCTCTCTCTCTCTCTCTCTCTCTCTCTCTCTCTCTCGCTCTCTCTCTCTCGCGCTCTCTCTCTCTCTCTCTCTCTCTCTCTCTCGCTCGCTCTCTCTCTCTCTCTCTCGCTCTCGCTCTCTCTCTCTCTGTGTACTAACAAAGTGGTCATTGAGTTAGCCCTCAGCAGGCTGAGCATCTGATGTACATCCACTGATCTGATATAAAGATGCTATCAATCTGCCTCCACAAATGAGCTCCAGCAGAAAACCAGCTGGACACCCTCAATTTAGACTACTGCTAATCAATGATGATGGCACACATTCATCAACTCAAATGGCCTGGGCAAATATGAGCATGATGACGCAGGTTGATCCTCCAACTCCTCAGAGAGGTCTGGTGTTTGAGGGCTGGACTGTGGACACCAGCCAGGTGAGAAACACTAGACAGGTGAGTGTGAATCAATCAATCATCCAAGTGTGTTTATCTCTACAGGAAATCAGATAATTATTGAAGGCTCCTCCTCTTCCTGGTCATTGATCCACAGCAGCCAGCCGTCACCACGGCAGCATTCACTAACTCACACAACCCCAGGGGACAATAGGGCCAGACAGGGACACATCCCCAGGGGACAATAGGGCCAGACAGGGACACATCCCCAGGGGACAATAGGGCCAGACAGGGACACATCCCCAGGGGACAATAGGGCCAGACAGGGACACATCCCCAGGGGACAATAGGGCCAGACAGGGACACATCCCCAGGGGACAATAGGGTCAGACAGGGCTCTCCTGAGGCCTGACAACCAGCAATGGCTCAGCCAATAACCACTTGATCTGAGATGCATATCTATGATATAGCCTACCCAACCCAACATTTATTTCATGACTAGCATCTTTCTCTGATTCAAAATGATTTGGATGATTGATTATCCTTTGCATGGCATGGGACTGGTTATAATGATGGTATTTACATTTTAGTCATTTAGCAGACGCTCTTATCCAGAGCGACTTACAGTTAGTGAATACATATATATATATATATTTTTATACTGGCCCCCCGTGGGAATCGAACCCACAACCCTGGCGTTGCAAACGCCATGCTCTATCAACTGAGCTACATCCCTGCCGGCCATTCCCTCCCCTACCCTGGACGACGCTGGGCCAATTGTGCGCCGCCCATGAGTCTCCCGGTCGCGGCCGGCGGCGACAGAGCCTGGATTCGAACCAGGATCTCTAGTGGCACAGTTAGCACTGCGATGCAGTGCCTTAGACCACTGCACCACTCAGGAGTATGGTATGCATTGGCTATACAGCTTTCCAGTGAGAGGTATAGTCTTGATGATGATATTACCTTGTTTGAGTATGGCGGCCTGGCAAGGTTGACTCCATCTCTAATGACTTTATCCCTAATCATGATCTTCAGCTTCAGTTTGGGGTAAATCACCAGCTCCCTCCGGTTGCCAAGCGTCAGGTTCCTCTGCGCGCCCAGATACGTGCCCCCATTCCTTCCGACCCGGTCACTATTCGGTTCGGTCCAAGACTTGGACCCCCGCAGTTTGGACTCGTACTGGTCCACCAGGTGACTAGGATACATTTCGGACGCGGGGGGCATCGGCTCAAGTGTAAAATACAGCCCCGCCGCGGTCTCCTTATCTTCGTCTTTCAGCCTTTGCACCGCGTTGTGGATCCTTTGCCGGTGGTGCGGTATGTAGACACCGATAGCATCCAGGTCGGGGTCCCCAATTTGTTTGCAAACTTCCAGATCATCGTAGCCGTTATCCACGAAGGACTCCACATACTGAGAGAGTTGGAGTGTCTTCAGCCACTCAAACACGATGACAGGTCCAGTGCTTGTCATGTTTGGGTGTTGTAGCTAAGTAAGCTAATGTAAAGAGTGCAGAACTGAACACCACCAATAATTACTTCCCCAAACTGATTTTAAATCTCATTGTTAAATGCAAATGAAAATTGCAGTATCTTCGCAAATAATGCAGTCTAAAGGTCAGGAACACACGAAGAAAGGACAATGCAACTGTTAAAATCCATGACTCAGTCCTAATAGCCTAAAATGTAGGCTACGTAGTTCAAAATTCTATTATTTTTTGTTATAGGGAATATGGAATATATGCGCTCCCGTTATTCTGTGATAATATCCAATAAACCTGGTGAAAAAGGTCAGTGAAACGAAATACACTGATATCATTTGACACATGCCAATATTTGCAGACGGAGATGAGTTCAGTGGCTGCGGTGACAGCTCTCAAATCCCCGATGTCATTTGGCCATCGATGTTACTCGCCCATATCGACATGCCAGGTTCACCGTAAACAATCACTTTAGGCAAAGAAAAAATCATTATTTAAAACCAAGAATTGTTCCAGATTCAGACGGATTAGAAAGTGTTACCGTATTCAGTAATTGGTTTAGTTATATGTAATCATAAACGTTCCAACGTTGCGCTATTTGGAGACGCTTTGCTCCCGCTGTAGTAGCCTATTCCTTCCACGCCGCCCTCACTCCTTCCTCTTGTAAACCCTCAATCGGAGCAAAATGTACGTATTCCAATGAGAAGAAAATTGACAGAAAATATCATTTAAACTCAAAGCAATCCCGTACCAACGAGAGCGACAGCTCGGACCATGTTGTGTCCAAATGCTTTGGGTATGCCTGGGCACTCCAAGCCGGTAGAGTGGTACGACAATCCACAGCCAACAGTCACATTCAATGTTCCTCGAGCCAAACGGTCTGTGCTCGAGCGGTCCACGCCCCCAGATCCGCGTGTGGCTTTAAAAATAGTGTTGGAATTCCTTCTTTACAACCTGTCACGGAACCCATGCGCGCACGGTTAACAAGTCCTCACACAGAGTCCAAAGTTAACCGCAAGAGAGGCAGAGAAAGATGCTTCGAGAGCGCATTCCATCCGCCTGTCACACAGTTTACATGAGCAGTTTCGTTGCTGGTTTGATTCACGTCTCTCTCCTACTCCGTGTGATTTCTCTCTCTGCTCAGTGTATCTCTCTTTCTCTTTCGCTCGGTCTCCCTCTCATTCAGCAGGTCCCTGGACTCGTTTCTCATCACGCACTAGCACCCCCTGTCTAACAGTTGAGGTACTTAAATACTGGTTTCACTTCGTTGTATTTACTAAAGGATTACACTGAAAATGGTAATTGCCAAATTATTACATAATAACTGCTCTTTGTTTTGATGTTGCTGTTGCTTTTTTTGATAGATAGATAGAGAGAGAGAGAAAGAGGGAGGGAGAGAGGGAGAGAGCTAGCTAGCGAGCAGGGGCAGAGTGCCCAGTAGTCCTTTCACAAGATGAAACAGCTTGCTGCCTCACAAAAAGCTCTCTGACACTGACTACTCCATTGACTCCCTCTCACCATATCGAACCAGGGAACACACTAAAGTGGTGCAGTGGTGTAAGGCACTGCATCGCAGTGCTAGCTGTGCCACTAGAGATCCTGGTTCGTATCCAGGCTCTGTCGTGACCGGGAGACCCATGGGGCGGCGCACAATTTGTCCAGGGTAGGGGAGGGAATGGCCGGCAGGGATGTAGCTCAGTTGGTAGACCATGGCGTTTGCAACGCCAGGGTTGTGGGTTTGATTCCCACGGGGGGCCAGTATGAAAAAAAAATAATGTATGCACTCACTAACTGTAAGTCGCTCTGGATAAGAGCGTCTGCTAAATGACTAAAATGTAAAAAGGGCCATATTGACTGTTAGCTCCCTTTTGGCTTGCGTTTTTGCTCAACCTCTCTACCGCTGCAGACAGACAGGGGAGGACACCCACTGGGCCCTTTCCATACATGGAAGACCGTATGCCACTTTTGACTGTGCTTCCCTTATTTCCCTCCTCTCCCCATGATTCCCTATCTCCAGTCCAATTTGCGGTGCTCTCCCCTTCCTGTCTAGCTGGATGCCTAGGCTGCACCACAGGACAGCATCAGCCAGCGGATGAGACAATATTGGAGGGGAAGGAAAAACAGGGAGGGATAGGAAGCATCCAGCTATGTGACGAGCCATGAATTAGACCTGTCTTCTGTGTCTGTCCATGTGGATGCTAGCCCAGCCCCTCAGCAGTGATACATGCATGCTTTATCAAACCAGAGCTGACAGCTTGTTAGAGGTCAGTTTGATACAATCACCACTGACTCTGCTGCTGCCTGGGACTGATTTGAGCTGCGCTGCCCATTATGAAATGCAGCTTGCGCAGTACAAACACAACACACAAGTCAGGGGAGAGGAGATGCATTTCAAATAGCCTCGTCTTGAAGCGGAAAGTCAGAAACAAGTCAGAAACATGCCAGAAATGCATGTCATGTTGGAGGGAGGATTTTCAGGAGACAGAACAGAGAACATATAATCAAGATCTGGTGTAGAGATAGTAATATTGACATTTGCAAAGAGAGTCATAGGAAAGAACAGGGAAGGATATCTATGCTTAGACATTAGAGAGTTTGTTTGGGTGTGTTTGTGTGTTAATATCTGACCTCATCTTTTACATCGCTCTACAGTAAATACCAATCATGTCCAATGAAAAAAGCCTGTTATTTCTCGACAGACAGGATTCTAACTCATCTACAGGACTTATTTGACTTACTCTTCCCGTTCCCTGTCCTCAGTCCTCTGTCACGGGTCACGAATGACATGTCGTTAGATCAGAAACAGGGGATTATGGGACACGTACTGGCATATGGGCAACAGGATGTGGTGCGTGCCATGCTGGGTGGACTCAGAGCGCAGGACGCAGGGTGGGTAGTGCCAGGAATAACATGTTTCCATCCCACTACCCAGCTACCCAGCTACCCAGCTACCCAGTTAGAGAGCAGTGGGTGGTGAAGGTGGCAGGTGGCAGGAGGCAGAAGGCAGGAGGCAGGAGGCAGGAGGCAGGAGGCAGGAGGCAGGAGGCAGGAGGCAGGAGGCAGGAGGCAGGAGGCAGGAGGCAGGAGGCAGGAGGCAGGAGCAGCTATCAGAATGCATGGGAATTTGCACAGTACATAGGGCTGTACTACTGCACATAAAGTGCCTCACCTCACTGTTCATCTATCTGCATCTATCTATACAGTAACACAATTGAGTTCAGTTTTGTCTCTTGGGTTATCTGACTGTAACAGTACATCTATGTATTTATTTGTACATAGACTAGCTAGTTTCCTTGATACCTGCTCAATATAGAAACATCCGGGTACACAGAATCATACATGGAATCACAGCTCTGATATTATTTGAGTGAATACAATTATTGTCTTCTAGTCACAAACTGTATAAGCCAATGTCCAAGGCATGCCTATTCTGTACACTAGTCCCACTCCTCCAGAACCACTGATGTGTATCACCATTGCCCTGGAGGGTAGAAGCCCTCGGCCACATCAGCAAATGCTTATCTAACCTTTACTTAATCACCCGCGGAAAAAGGGGGCCAATATTAGCATACGGCCTGGTAAACCTGGATGTGGTGGAGAGGTGGTGTGTGTGTGTGTGTGGGGGGGGGGGGGGGGTCGTGTTAATGAAGAGAGACAGAAGAGAGAGTGGGTCAGACGGGTTCACAGCAGCCAGATATATTAGACACAGCCGGAGGGGAGAGGAGAGAGGAGACAACCTGGATGCAGGCCTTTACCATGCTATTAGTACTGTCTGTGCCTCTTCATTTTGAGGTAAGGGTTGAGAGGATTGGGGCCTCCTTGGATATAGAGGTCTAGGTAAAACACCTCTGTGAACGCTCTGATTGACCTCATTTTGAAACCCTTTGAAGCCCCAAGAATCACCTCTATACAGAAGACCATGAATTACATGTTGTGCTCGTTACTGGGCAGTTCTTTTGGCTTTCACTGGTGGGTCTCCATCATCCGTACAGGTGTAGGTAAGACTTTTAGACTGGCAGAGCTGGGAGAAGAAAATCTGACTCAGAGTGGATGGTGGTGTTAGAGAGAGGTGTCAGAAGAGAGGTGTGTTAGTATCTGAGCAGTCCTTAACCTCCTCCCACACAGATGCATGTGGAATACGGACTATTATCTCAATCCCTGCTGCATGTTGGTGTGCTGCTGTGCTCCGCTGTATCTGAGCTCCTCTTTGTGGGAGAAGATATCAAATCACAGGCTTTGGGGGAGAAAAGCGTCTCCAGGGGCTGCCCAGGACAGAGTAGAGTCTCCCAGAGCGGATGAAAGGCTGTGATTACTGACTCGGTTTTGTCAGACTCAGCTTCATCTCTACATACAGGGCTGAAGTTAGGCAAACAATTAGGAAGTCCACAGCTAACATGATACAAATTCCACCCCAAAATATGTGCTCTTCTAAAAATCATGCATATTCTACTAAGTTTATGAACAGAAGCAGCTCAATGAGGGCTTCTTAGAAGGGGGTAAGACATTATTTAATAGATTTACATTTTAGTCATCTTTCACCTATCCTGCTCAGGGATTTGAAACAGCGACTTTTTGGTTACTGGCCCAGCGCTCTTAACCATTAGGCTACCTGCACCCCTAAAAAGTTTCCAATGAATTTGCTGAGAGGGCTGGCTGGGGGTTAAGAGTCTTCAGAGTAAAATTGAATAATGGGTGCTAAATCTATAACCTTCTTTACTGACTGCAGAATTAAAATAGCTTACTGATAAAGAAAACACAGGGTAAAACCGCAGGGCCGGACACAGCTAACTACCCTCCACTCAGAGTCAATCTCAGATGAACTATCAAAACAAGAAGATCTTTTTCCATCCTGCTTCATGGACAGACAGGGCACCCAGTGGATTCTCTAGCAGCCTCCAGGAACATTGAATTAGGAGTTGAGGAAAGCACTTGATCTGTCTTCATGCTCTTTTAATTACACACGGCTGGGTGAGTTCCAATCCCCAGAGACCAA